CTTTATAGTGCTGGCCACTCCTCGCTGGGCCTGCATTGGCTCCATTCAGCCTATCCTTTGTCCCAGACCCTGCATTGCATGTGACCCAGTAGAGTCCCAATGAAGTTCAACTGCTGCTGAGGCCTCTCGGCCTGTATTTGGACTTGAAAGTCTGGATCTGGACTGACCCCTTGACTTAGACCAGAACTGGGACTGTGCCTATTGACTTTACTTTCGGACAGGCACAACTTCTCAACGAACAGACACATTTACTGCTTGAACAGACACTTTCCTTTGCACGAACAGGTACACTGCCTGCACGTACAGACACACTCTTATCCGAACAGACATGACATACACATCTCCTGGTGAACAGGTAAGTCTTTTGACAATGCCTTTTGCTTTAGATTTAGATATGCCTGTTGATAGAGAACTTGACCTTTGACCTGCTTTCACGTTTCTGAGCCCTGGCGAGATACCTGTTCACAATGCTTTACTTTTTCAAGGCCCGTGCTGCTTTATTTTTACAAGGCCTGAGGCCTATATCGAGTAAAGGCCCTTTTACGTGCGGCGCATCTCATGCGCGTGCGCTTTGCGCCGCATGTGCCGCGCCCCCGCACATGAGATGCGCCGCAAGTATGATTCCAGCTTAAAAAGCCATATTGACACTGTTGTTTGACAATCTCAGAAGAACTCAAAATATTGCATAATTAATAATTATAGAATTTACAGCTAGGCTGTTTTTCCGGGGGCCCGGGCACCCAACTTATGCCCGGGTACCCACCCGGGTGCCTGGCCGGGCATGACCCCCGGGCAGGGTTCCGGGCAGCCCCAGCACTAAAAAAAAAAAAAAAAAAACCGGAATTATTTTTTTTTCCGTGTAGAATTGCAATACAAACGACTTTTGGCCGAGGGTCACATTAGAACTCCTCAGGGAATCGGAGATAAAAAAAGAAAATAACAGAATCACACTAACGGACTCCCCTTTAAACCCCTTTAGCGAAGTTTAGCCCCTTTAAAACCAATTTATACCCCTCTCCCCACCCGTTGAAATCCAACTCACAAAAAACGAAACGAGCCCGGATTTGGGGTCCTCTGGGAGAGCGCAGAAAACCAAAAAAAAAAAAAATATATATATATATATAGGGTTCAGCCTCCTGATGAGTCGGTGAAACTCCGACGAAACAGTTTGTCACAGCCCCTCGTTTGTTGTCCTCTTCTCTCTCTCTGCCTACGGTTTTACCGGGCAGTTCTGTTTGTGACGATATATATTGTCACAAACAGAACTGCCCGGTAAACCGTAGGCAGATATATATATATATATATTTTATTTTATTTTTCCGCACGCCCGGGTTCCCGGCCGGGCATGAAAATCTTCCTAGATTTATAGCTGATAAAAAGATATAATTTGTATCTCTACTACAGAACTGTACATGAAACTTTTACCTCATATATCAGCTAACAGCTTAACACTCAGAAACACAGGCAGCTGCCTGGGAATCGTATCAACAAGCATGGACAGAGAAACACTTCATTTTTTTTTAAGTTTAGTAGAAACACTTAAAAATAAGTTCAGTTTTTTTTTGAAGTTCTCAAGGGCATTGGGGCCTCCATTTTTTGTGCATGCTTTTGTAGGTACAGGTGTGTGCAACCTTGCAGACACCACCTGAAGACAAGTTAGAAAACCATCCTCCACCAATCAAGAGAAGGCATCGGAATGGTATGTGTTTCTTATGGAAATAAAATTCCTGCTTTTTCTTAAAAAGTGGGGGGGGGAGGAAAGAGGCGGGAAAAAAAAAGAGGGGATGGTATGTGTATTTGTGTCAGGTAATGTCAGACATTGCGGGGAAGAAGTCACCTACCACACAATCCCTGTCCGATGCTACCGCCAAGACATGCTTCCCTGCCCAAGTGGCCTCCAAGCTGCTCACTCCTTCGGCTGGTTTGCTGACTTTCACCTGCACCATACCAGCAGATTCCGTTTTGTTTCTCACTTTAGTATTTTGTAATACTTCCGATTTACTTGTGTTATTAGGTCTTGATTTTTTCAATTTTTTTTGCTATGAAGCCTATGATTTTTTTAAAAAGTTTTTTTACGTGGGAGCTATTGCTGCTCAGCCTGCTCTGTTTTCATTTGTGCTTATGATGCATCAGCGTATGATGCGATCTGCTAGTGTGTTTCACTCCTCAACGCATCAACGCTACCTTCTTCCCCCGAATACAACGTACGGTCATTGTAACTGTATTCGAGGGCATCTTTCGGTCTAGATACAGCTATAATGACCGTACGTTGTATTCGGGGGAAGAAGGTAGGTAAGGTTAAACAGCTACTAGGTATAGAACTACGCTGCGCTAATTTCTAAGGTTAAACACCTGCAAGAACTATGCTCCGCACCTAACTTTGAAGTACTATAGAATGTCTCCTTAGCTATCAAAAACTATGCTACAGCTCTATTCTCCACCACCGTTGAGCACCTCATATGACTACAACTCTATGCTGCCGTGCTGATTATATGGAACTGCACATGGGTCGAATGGGTGGTGCAGGACAACATTAAGATATCACAGAAAAAGAGGGGTAGATTCCTAGGGCAGAAGAGGGGAGAGCAGAAAAAGAAAAAGTTGAAAAACTCATGAAAAAGCAGCAGCAGCAGCAGCAGCAGCAGTCCGTGCAACGAACTGGATGTGGAAGTTAGACAGCAAGGAGAGAGAGAGAGAGAGAGAGAGAGAGAGAGAGAGAGAGAGAGAGAGAGAGACAGAGAGAGAGAGAGAGAGAGAGAGAGAGAGAGAGACGGACGGACGGACGGACAGACAGACGGACAGACGGACAGACGGAAAGAGAAAGAGAGAGAAGGGACAGAGGGGAAGCATTGAGTTGGGTGTGCACTGTGCACGACTCGTTCAGGGACGCTGGGCCCCATTCCCAGCAGGTGCCGCCCCCTACCAATAGGCAGGGGATTGTTTGTTTGTTTGTTAAACTTTGTTTGTTAAAGGAAAAAAAGTTAAAAAAACGAAAAAAAAAACAGAGACGGAGAGAGCGAGGGGGAAAAGAAAGTCAAGCCTGACCAACGAGGACTCACTCACACCTTTGCTGCAAGATTCCATTCTGAAAAAGGTGTGGAGTGAGAGAGAGAAGGGAGAGAGAGAGAGAGAGAGAGAGAGAGAGAGAGAGAGAGAGAGAGAGANAGAGAGAGAGAGAGAGAGAGAGAGAGAGAGAGAGAGAGAGAGAGAGAGAGAGAGAGAGAGAGAGAGAGAGAGAGAGAGAGAGAGAGAAGGACGGACGGACGGACAGAGGATTCACTCACACCTTTGCTGCAAGATTCCATTCTGAACCGTCTTGAATGTGAAGTGTGAGGGTGAAGTTCCGTGTAATGACAACCAACCCATTTTTCTCCTCGTAGTAAAGCATTGCTGCTATCTCCCCGTCGACCTCATATGCCACTGTTTGATGGCCCTGCCATGGTAGAAGTAAATGGACCAAGGGAAGATATCAAAACACCAAACAATGAAGGACAAAAATTTGAGATAACAAAGAAGTTGAAAGAAGTCGAAAGAAAAAAAAAGAAAAAAAAGAAAAAAAGAAAGAACTTGAAAGAAGAGCAAAAAAAAAAACAAAACAACGATTGTGCATATACAAGAAACTGCAGCTATTCCCAATCAATGCAACAACCAGAGGTAAAAACTGATCCATAAGTTAAATCCCCATCATCAGTGCAGCACTGGATTTAGTTCTTTTCTTTCAAGAAAAAAGGGCGACCACCTTGAGATACCATAGCGTAAACTGTGAAACTGCTGACCGGCCCCAGGTAATTCAGGAACTTGGTTCGTCTACTTCCACTGGATTCAAACACAGATCCCCAAGATTTCAACAGTTTTTGTGCGTGTACGAAACTGAGCTAGGCCTAGCTCAGTTTGAAGTTCGAACACAGATCCATATTTGGCTTATGGTCACTTCACCTTATTTCATATCCTGACATATCCAGAGTAGAACTGAGCTAGGCCGCGCGCACTCACTTCGTACACCTGCAAACTTTTGAAAGATGGATCTGTGTGTTCGATAAGAAGTACTCTATCTGTGTTTTTTCCCAAGAAAGTTGGTAATACTGGAGTGCAGTAATTACTAATTACTAATTACTAATTAGTAATTAGTAATTACTAATTAGTAATTAGTAATTACTAATTAGTAATTTAATTACAGAGCAGTTAACCCCACACAGCAAGGCTATACCTGGTTTGGAAGAACTCCACAAACTGCAGGAACAAAATGCAGACTTGATTTCTTCCTGGTGGCCGAGAACCTGGCGTCAAATGTGATCCAAGTTCAAGAACAGAACGCGGATCTTTCAGATCACAAGCTGGTCTTGATGCTGATGCAGTCTGATTCCCTGGGAGACAGAGGCCCAGGGTCCTTCTGTCTGAACACACAACTGCTGGAAGATGAGGGGGTCTGTGCCTGGGTGGATCAATATTGGAAGGACTGGGAAGGGGCAAGAGGATGCTTTGAGAGGAGAGGTGACTGGATGGAAGTGGGTCTTAGGATTATCTCAAATAAGTTGGAGATATTCTCGTCCATAGCAGCATTCCTAAGGAACAAGGAAGAAGATGACTGTAGGCAGAAGGTGGATGAAGCGGAACAGCACATCACCCTCCATCCGATCTCGAAACTGGCGTGGGCTGAGGAAAGGGTGGCAAGACTACAGGATTGGGGGAAAATTCAGCAGGCGAAGCACGACCGGTGGGAACAGATCCTGTCGGAGAAAAAGATTGTTACCGGGGATCAGTTGACCAAGGAGACGTTTCAGAGATTGCTACCGAAAAGACGGACAGTTCAAATGAAGGAGCTGATCCACCCACATCTCAGGGGGATGCCCGTTGCAAGCAACAACGAGGCGTTGTGCAAGTATGCAGCGTCATACTTCAAAGACATATTGATGTCACGGTCAAGGTTCGAGAGCCCGACGACAAATCTGTCGGAACACTCTGACGCCTGGGATAGCTTGGGAGTGGCACTGTCGTAGGAAGCACAGAAGGAGTTGGATTCCCCGCTAACAACTGAGGAACTCACACACACTCTAGCTACGATGGCAAAAGGCAAGGCCCCCGGGGAAGATGGGCTTCCGCTAGAATTCTACAAGGCATGCTGGAGTACGCTAGCCGAGGACCTGGTGGCAGTCTACAACGAGACCCGAGAAGGGGGGTTGCTGGGAAAGTCTATAGCCAAGGGCATCATTACGCTTATGTATAAGAAGGGTGATAGGAGTGAGATCAGAAACTGGCGGCCGATCTCACTCTTAAATCTCTCTTATAAATTGTTGGCGAAGACCCTGGCCAATAGACTGGCCAAACATCTCCCAGGGTTGGTGGGGCTGGACCAAGGTGCATTTGTGAGAGGTAGGTCAATCGTGGACAACCTGGCGACAGCTATAGAGGCGCTAGAGGTGATTGAAGGGAGAAACGAGGAGGTGGTAGTGCTAATGCTGGACATGGAGAAAGCCTTCGACAGAGTCAACTGGGCATTCGTCCTGACTACGCTGAAGGCATTGAATTTTGGAGATGCATTCTGCAGTTGGGTCGGGGGCTTGTATTTCTCCTCTTCAGCTGTAGTGCAAGTGAACGGGTACCACTCTGAGGAGTTTGAACTTTCACGTTCATTACGACAGGGGTGCCCATTGGCCCCCCTCCTATTCGTCCTTCAACTTGAAGTCCTGCTGCATGATATCAGGGCACACCCACTGCTGGAGGGCTTGCGTCTCAAGAGCGGCAAGGAGTGCAGGGTGAAAGCTCTAGTAGATGATCTGCTAGCCCTGTCTGCAAACACGGAAAACTCACTGGAAGCACTGAAGCAATGTCTCCACCGGTATGCAGACCTATCGGAAGCGGCCGTCAACTAGAACAAGTCTATCTATTATATTCCCAGAGACTACAAGTTGAAGGTTGAATGGGGTATGCGCAGGGTGCAAGAGGGCGGAGCGGAGAGGTACTTGGGAGTACAACTGGCTCTTGAAGATAGTACGGAATCTCAATCACTGATTTTGAAGGAGAAGGTGACGGGCCGGATCAAGAGTTGGGGGACAGCCCCTCACCTGTCCCTGATTGGTAGAACGCTTGCTATCTCATTTGCAGCGTTCTCGGTCCTCTGGTACGTTGCTAAGGTGAGAAGGCTGGCTAAACCGCTGGTAAAGGAAGTTAAATCCGTGGCAAGACGCTTCATTTGGAAACCGGGATCAAGGGAGGGGTCCAGCTATATTCCAAAGGTAGCATGGGACACCCTGTGCTTGCCAAAAGAGGAAGGGGGCCTGGGTCTGCTAGACCCAGAAACCCAGAATCTGGGCTTACTCTCAAAATGGGTTGCGAAGGTGGTGGCTGCAGATCAGGAGGCAGATTGGTGCATCTTGGCAGAAGAAATCTCGCAGATCAATGGGAACTTTCGACACCACAAGACGTCTGGGTGGCTATAATGATCCAGCCATTCCTGGCAAAGCGCATCAAGTCCAAATTTTGGAGCGATATTATATATGCATGGCAGAAGTGTAAGCCCGATCGGACAGCCGAGCCAACCACCAGGTCGGAAGTACTCAAGCAGCATCTCTTTGAGAACCCACTGCTTCTCAACAAGGATGGAAACTCCTTTAAGGCAAGTTCAGGTGCAGGGGCATACGGGATGAAGTGGATTCAGCGGGGGGTAGCCAGGGTAGAGGACATTTGGGAAGAGGATACAGGCCAGTGGATTAGTAGGGAAAGTCTGAAAGTAAAACTGGGTAGGCTGCCAGAGCAGGAGGGGAGACTTGCGGATCTGATACAAGCAATCCCGGAAGAGTGGAAGGACATGCTGGGTCCGTGTTTCATACCATTAATTGGAACCTGGTACAAGCGGAGTGACGGAGCAAAGGAAGAGTTTGTGCGGTTAACGGAGTGGAATGATGATGTTCCTGGGAAATGCTCCCTACAGGTCCACGAGAGAGAAAGAGCAGGAGATATTAATCTCAGAGAAGTAGGGAGCTGCACCAGTTATGGGGTTTCTGCTCTGGAAGAAATCAGAGTAACGCAGGTCGCACAGCGGCAGCAAGCGAAACCTACCAAGTGGCAACTGGTGGCAAACGGGGCAGCGTATGCCGAGAGCAGAGTGGATATTTCGAGGTGGGGTTGGGAAGTTGGATCAGAAGTTATCTGGGGTTTGGGAAACTGCTCAACTGTTCTGACACAGAGAATCCGAGCAAAAGAGGCTCAGAAGGGGGAGAAGTTGAGAAGAGATGGCAAGCGAAACCTACCAAGTGGCAACTTGGACCCGCCGAGCAGCAAAGATCTGCAGAAGCTCTGGAACCAGCTGACATTAATCCCATCTCAGAAATTAGCCTCCCTTCTCTGGCTTCAATCTCACCAGGCTATCCCGACAGCAAGATGGTTGAGGAAAAGGGGACTGCTATTTAAGGAGGCCTGTGACAGATGCAGTTGGCTCTTTGAAATGATGCACCATCTCTGGTGGGCCTGCCCCAAATCCAGGAAATGGTGGGATTGGTGGTCAGCTCACTGGATTCAATGGTCAGGGAGGAAAGACCTGTCAGGTGAAAGTTGGACCATTTTGGGCATTTTGCCAGAAGGGGTAAGACCAGACAAAGGCTGGGGATACGTAGCCCAAATTGGGAGAGCGGTGCTTCTCTGGGTAATCTGGGCTGTCAGAAATGAACTCAGGCTCAAGGGGAATACCATGCCGGAAGCCCAGGCAGAGAAACTCTTCAGAAAGCTGTTAAAAAACGAGGCGTTGGCAGACGGGAGGAGGAAGGCGGAGAGAGGCAGGAGGAGGTCTGGCACACAATGGTTCAAGGAAACATGGGGCCAAAACCCTGCAGTCCTTCAAGTCTCTGAGGACAACAAGCTGAAGTTCTCACTTTGGTGGGACAGGTAAGGCTAATGGAAGAGGCAGGAGACGGGAGGAGGATTGGACCAGGAGTCCGTTCAGGTAGGCCAGTGTTAGTAGTCAGAACCAGGGTACTCGGTTCTAGCTCAGACCGCAGTAGGTCACTCAGGGGAGGAGGGTGGAGAGTGCCATGGAGACCCGGAACCTCGGTTCCACCGGTCGAATAGGCCGGCGCCAGGCCGCATTAGGCCTACGTGTAGTTAGATGACTAGTTAGGAGCAGTAGGAATAGGAGGTAGGAGCTTAGTTTGGTGCGTGAAGAATATGTGACAGGTAGCATTGTCCCTGAGTCTAATTTCAAGGCCGTATTAGATGAATGAAGGACTCGAGCATCGCAGTTTAAGTACAGCCTGCAGCGAATTTAGGTGGATAAGAGGTGTTTGCATGGGTCCTGGAGACCATCTCACGCAAGTGTGTACATGCCATGCATCGTTCTCCCACACACAACGAACAGTAGTCTGATAATAGACAAAGGTAGAGAAGATGAGAACCGAGTTTCACAGCTTATATTATCAAAAATATGAATACAAAGTGTTTCAAAGTTTCCCCGAGTCCAGCGCTCATCAGCGCAACACCAATATCTTGCCAACTCATCAATATGCCTTCCAGTGAATCAGTGCTACCCCTGCAGATAGTCTCCAAGTCATGTGGTCACCACTCATCAATGCCACCTCTGCAGATCACATCCAACTCAGGTAAGTATCTTCCATCTCTCAGCCTCAATCCCTTCCTCTTATGATGCATATACACTCTTCAATACTCATGAGGATCTACTCTGGATACTACTCATAGCTACATACTAACCCTCTACTTCTAATGCCAACTCGCTGGGCAGCTATGGCTGCATCACTTCCAGCGTACAGGCATCTTCCTTCCTCCAGCGCATCTTCTCCTCCAGCGCTGCTCCTCCTGACTCAGCGCACAAGTGCACCAGCACTTCCACGCATAGAATGCCAGTGGAGATCTGGGTAGGAATGAGGCTGGCTGCCTCCTTTATACTCCTCGCTGGGTCTGTGTTGGCTCAATCCAGCCTTCCTTTTGTCCCAGACCCTGCATTGCATGTGTCCCAGTAGAGTCCCAAATGAAGTTCAACTGCTGCTGAGGCCTCCCGGCCTGAATTTGGACTTGAAAGTCTGGATCTGGACTGACCCCTGGACTTAGACCAGAACTGRGACTGTGCCTATTGACTTTACTTTCGGACAGGCACAACTCTCAACGAACAGACACATTTACTGCTTGAAYAGACACTTTACTTGGCACGAACAGACACACTGCCTGCACGTACAGACACACCCTTACCCAAACAGACATGACATACACATCTCCTGGTGAACAGGTAAGTCTTTTGACAATGCCCTTTGCCTTAGTTTTAAATATGCCTGTTGATAGAGAACTTGACCTTTGACCTGCTTTCACGTTTCTGAGCTCTGACGAGATACCTTTTCACAATGCTTTACTTTTTCAAGGCCCGTGCTGCTTTATTTTTACAAGGCCTGAGGCCTATATCGGGTAAAGGCCCTTTTATGTTGGTGCATACAGAGATCAATAAGCACTCTAAGCTAAACCGGCTGACGCTGCCGGGATAACTCCGGGTGGAATTGTGAGGTCCCCGGCCTCAAGTGAGTTGATTCTGGAATATAATGATTGAGTGTTCGCAAAAAAAAAAAAAAAAAAAAAAAAAAAAAAAGTAATTTAATAGCAATTTTCTTACAGATCCTAAGCTTCTGAAGTTCGCAGTACCTCAGTGAAAGCTCCAGTTGTGAAACTTAAAGACGCAGAGATGCCACCGGTGCTCCGTCTGTGCTGCCGAAGCCCGAAACTGGCCATTTTTGCTTCTAGATTCATGCATTCTAAGAGGCAAAATAGTACCATTGGAGCCGTCCTCCTTGGACATACCCCAGTACTGCAGCCTCTGGGTCCCACTTCTTCCAGACTCTGGAGTCTTCAACGACACCACTCACTCCTTATGACAGTGCTTCGGAACAAAAAAAACAGAAAACAAAAACAAAAAGACGACGACGAAGAAGAAGAAGAAGCAGAGGAGACAGCCGCGGCTAAACGGACTGTGCGTAGGATAGAAAGACAGGCACGTGATTTTGCAACACAACACACAATGCTCAGTTGATCATACACCATACATTAGGGAAGAATACTCCGAAAAAGAGACTCGAAAAAGAAACATGATGCGCATAGTCTCCTATTGGCGGATCCGTACTCCGAAAAAGAGACTCAAAAAAGAGACTCGAAAAAGAGACTCGAAAAAGAGACTCGAAAAACAAATTGGGAAACTCGAATACAACACATATGCGTTATATTCAGGGGAAGACGGTAGTCAGGTCTGTACCTTATCGTTACCATGGCAAACAACACCCTTGTCTCCAGTTGCAAAGCCATAATAGAATGGGGGGCACGGTGGAGGCAATGCCAGGTCACTGCAACAATCAACAATCAGGGTGTCACATGTCACGAATGAGTGGATGTCAGAGCAAGAACCAGTGATGTGGAGAAGCACTTTTGCTTCCTATTGTTCAATTTGTGTCGGGCATCCTTCTTCCGCAGGCCCAAGCACAGGGGCCATGCTAATCTTCAGTATCTGTATCGTTCCAATTTTAACAGATGTCCCAGGGCACCGTTCCATTAGCCATAGGATATGGCACAGCTCTACCCGTGCGGCCGCAGTGTGACAGCCCCATAAAAAATAGAAAAGCAATTAAAATTTTAAGAACTAGTAAAGAATGCAAAAGAAAAAAAGAAAGAAAACTGGACTGTTGTTTTCAGAAAGGCAGCTAAAGCGCCTGTTTCTCCACTACGTGCGGACTGAACCTATCAAACCCAAAACAGGGCCATTTATTTGGATGGCTCAGCGGAGTATCCCTTGTTTTTCTTTTTTCTTTTTTTTCCTTCTTTCGAAATGGCTTCCCTGTTTTTTGGTCCCCTGTTTTCACTGACTTGTTTCTACCACACCCATCCATTGCAGTAGAGACCAGTCAGGCCCGACACAACTGTACAAAAAACTCTAATAAAACAGTAATGTTACAATTAAGTTGAATTAACCAATGAAGGAAGGCCTTTTTTTCTTTATGCGGGCAGTTTCCGATGATGCATTTGAGATCTGAAAGTGAAAAACAAAAATCAGGAAAGACACAATGCGGCGGTCTTCCTATGATCATACACGTGCTCATGTTCTTTTCTACTTTCTACCCTTTGGCTAATGGAACACCGCCACAGAAGGACAGTTCTTTTCTTTCTTTTATTTCTGAAGACAAGAAACTTGAAGAAAGAGATTCATACAATAAATCTGATCACCATATCTGAGGTATTACATATGACAGCAAACATATAGTGATCTCCATAGTCCGGTCAACTCGTCTTTGCATCACCCTTTTTGCCAATGAAAATACATACAAACCAACCAACCACCCAACCAACCACCCAACCACCCAACCAACCACCCAACCACCCAACCACCCAACCCA